CCACCCCCCCCACCCCCAATCTGGAGTAGACAGTCAGTGACCTGCTGCATCACACAGACACACACAAGTCTATGGGACCAGATGGGATACACCCGAGGGTGCTGAAGGAGCTGGCTGGGGTGCTCACCAGGCCACTTTCCATCATTTACCAACAGTCCTGGCTGACTGGGGAGGTCCCGACAGATTGGAAATTGGCCAAAGTGACACCCATCTATAAGAAGGGTCGGAAGGATGATCTGGGAAATTACAGGCCTGTCAGGTTGACTTTGGTGCCCAGGAAGCTGATGGAGCAGCTCATCCTGAGTACCATCACACAACACATGTGGGACAACCAGATGCTCAGGCCCAGTCAGCATGGGTTTATGAAAGGCAGGTCCTGCCTGACAAACCTGATCTCCTTCTACGACAGGGTGACCTGCTTATTGGATGAGGGAAAGGCTGAGGATGTTGTTTACCTTTACTTTAGTAAGGCCTTTGACAGCATTTCCCACAGCATTCTCCTGGGAAAACTGGCTGCTCCAGGCTTGGATGGGCACACGCTTTGCTGGGTAAAAAACTGTCTGGATGTCCGGGCCCAGATTGTTGTGGTGAATGGAGTTAAATCCAGTTGGTGGCTGGTCACGAGTGGTGTCCCCCAGGGCTCGGTGTTGGGGCCACTCCTGTTTCACATCTTTATTGATGATCTAGACGAGGGGATGGAGTGCACTCTCAGTCAGTTTGCAGATGACCCCCAGTTGGGTGGGAGTGTTGATCTGCTCGAGGGCAGGGAGGCTCTGCAGAGAGACCTGGACAGGCTGGAGCCATGGGCTGAGCCCAACTGGAGGAGTTTCAATGAGGGCAAATGCCGGGGGCTGCCCTTGGGCCACAACAACCCCCAGCAGCACTACAGGCTTGGGGAGGAGTGGCTGGAGAGCTGCCAGTCAGAGAGGGACCTGGGGTGTTGATTGACAGCCGGCTGAACAGGAGCCAGCAGTGTGCCCAGGTGGCCAAGAAGGCCAATGGCATCCTGGCTTGTGTCAGCAATAGTGTGGCCAGCAGGGACAGGGAAGGGATCTGACCCCTGTACTCGGCACTGGTGAGGCCGCCCCTCGATTCCTGTGTTCAGTTTTGGGCCCCTCACTCCAAAAAGGACATTGAATGACTCGAGCGTGTCCAGAGAAGGGCAACGCAGCTGGTGCAGGCTCTGGAGCACAGGTCGTATGGGGAGCGGCTGAGGGAACTGGGGGTGTTTAGTCTGGAGAAGAGGAGGCTGAGGGGAGACCTCATCGCCCTCTACAGCTCCCTGAAAGGAGGGTGCAGAGAGCTGGGGATGAGTCTCTTTAACCAAGTAATAAGCAATAGGACAAGAGGTAATGGCCTCAAGTTGCGCCAGGGAAGGTTTTAGGTGTTGGAATGGGCTGCCCAGGGAGGTGGTGGAGTCCCCATCCCTGGAGGTGTTTAAGAGTCGGGTCGACATAGCGCTGAGGGATCTGGTGCAGTTGGGAACTGTCAGTGCTAGGTTAACGTTTGGACTAGATGATCTTCAAGGTCCTTTCCAATGTAGCTGATTCTGTGATTCTGTGATTCTCCAGAGACTGCCCTCTTGATATGAAGTACAAGCTGCTGGGGTTATGGGAAGTCAGCTTTCCTCAGGGCCTTTTGCTTCCCTCAGCACCATGCAAATTAATGTAGGTTGAGGCAGTGTTTACTTTTAATATTCATTGCTTTGCTCTTCCTACTTCATGTATTTACATTAATTTTAGGTTAATTAACATTAACCTCACAATCTTTTAGTAAAGTGAGAAGTGTTGTGAAATCTGTGTTCCCCTTGCAGGACAAAACCTCCCTGTCACAGAAAAACCTCATCAGGGCTGAGATATCTTTTTCTGATTTCTTGCCACTAAATGATTTTACCTTGTATATCAATCTTGGAAACCTTTATTTGTCACAGCCCAAAATATTGTTTTGAATTAAACAGTGATAGTCTTGGGTCTCCCACCTGAAATGCCATCTTGACCCCAAGGAACCAAGTATACCTAAACTCAAAACTGTGTACTTCACAGATTCAGACCTGATATTAGCAAGTAAAGTCTCAGGTCTTATTTCAATATGTTAATTTCATATGAAGTGAAATAATTTTAACAAGAAAAAAACTCTGCAACCTTTAAATCCTGTGTCTGTTAATGCATTTTCAGATATTTAAAAAAAACCCAAAGACTATTGAGAGATTAATTCATCCATGTATCCAGTCACCAGTATAATTACTTAAGCATGGCCTAGCAGATAAATTCCCACTTTAACTGAAAAATGTAAATTTGTTGACTTCAGTTTATATTTAGGATTTTAATAGTCATATTTTCCATAATCTACTGAGACTTCTGTTGTGCAACAGAATATACTCTGCAAACCATCTTCAGGGAAAAAACATATTAGAGAGGTATAATTACTGTAAACTGAATTTTAAATAGCTTTCCATTCTCTTGGCATTTATTTCTGAAAAACAAGTGAAATATTTCTAATTATTTTCTGTATATTTACAGAAAACAAAAAGGTTTTTTATTATTGGTTGCCCATACATGATACAGTATATTACTCTTTTTATATGATGGTATATGAAAAAAAATGTCTAGCTGAAGAATCTTTTCTTTCTAGTACCTTTTTCTGGAAAAAAAAAAAAAAAATCCGAGGTCTTTTTCAGGGTTTTTTGTTCAGGCAATTCTGGTGTGAAATTTTGCCTTCAAAACCACAGCAGGATGAGGTACACTAGTCTTTTAATTACAGCCATTTAATGTGATTCCCCTCTGCTCCACCCCCTTAAATCTTGAACATTAATCATGTTAGACAAAAGCTTAACTTTTTAAATAAAATACGTTTTCTTTTCAGGGATCTGATATCATATCTAGTAGGCTAAATTGATGTTTTGACAGTTTGAGACAGGAACAGCTATTAAATAAGAATTTCTTTGAAATACACCATTTAAATATATTAAACATCAGAGACAAAAAAATGATAGTCATTATACATCCAAGAGTAGGCCTTATCAAACCATGAACATAATATGGTTTGTTAATAACTGACGAGGAGTGTAATAATTATTCAGTGTGTGGCTTCTTATCTACAATGGTCCAGGCTGAAGATCAAGTCCAAGTTCTAGTTCAGACAATCCATTGAATCAATGCAGGGGGCCTATTGATTCACCTGTATGGATTGGTTTGCTAAAAACAAATTACTGGTGTGCCTTTCTGGCATGGAAAGCTTTTTACAAACTTACTTCTGCCTTTTAAAATACATTGTTTTTACTGCAACCCAGTGTCATCTCCTTTGTTACTCTTGTGGCTCTCTTGTCCTCTTTCTACTCTTCCTGTACATTGTCCTGGATAGTCTTGAAAGTCACGTGATGAAGTGACTTACTGGACGATATTGGAACAGGACTTTTTCATGATTGCTTGGTCACCCTGAAGCTTAAAATCTTACACAACATAATTTTGTTTGCTATGAATTGTTATAATGATACATCATGTTATATCTGGTTTTGCATTACGTAGAAAATTGGGGCAGAGATCTACATATACGACACATGTCTTAATTTGGGGACAACTTTTAAACTTTTTTTTCTCCTTTTCAATATTCAGACATACATAAAACCAATATTTTAAGCACAGTTGAAAATTAAAAGTCTCAGCTGTACACAATATTTTGGCAATACATTCAAAGATTTAAGTGTCCAGTCTGGCTCCTTAACTAGACAGTTAAATATGATGATCTCACCCCATTATTAGTATGCAAGGATATGCAAATACAGATAATTAACTGGGGTTTGAAGATACCTTGGCTAACGTGAAGAACAAAGAATAGACTTTGGCTCCTGTACCTCTCAGAAAATGGCAAAAGTCAACACAGGCACCTACAGAACAGCACAAAACCTACACAAAACAGTTCAAGTCTCGGTGGCCCCACAGAAATTAAAGGATTACTGATTAAGGGATTACTGATGTGAGCTGTTACTCTTCCAAGGAGATTCAGCTCTTCTGCTCTTTCCACTGATTATTTTTCCTGAAGTTTTGAGGAAAATTACATGAGGCTTTCACATTTGTTTGTGCTGTCTTTATGTACTGTTAAGCCTGTGTGCCATTGTGTAGAGGCTATGTAGGATGGTGAGAGGAAGGGGATAGATTCTGATGGTCTCAGTGCTTTTTGCTGAAATCTCTGAAACAGCTTTATTAAGAAAACTAAAAATTCTGTTACTATTACACAACAACATCTGTTACTGATGAGTGAATTATCTGGGTTCGATACTTTTCTGTCCTGCTAAAAATCTAAATTTTTACTGTATTTTACTAAAGTTAAATACAGAAAAAGGTTTTTTTTTTCATAAAATTGTAGCTCATTTGCTGCAGATAGAGTAATGGCATTGCTGAAATTGCAGCAAATAGTGTAATGATGTGCCCCAGTAATGCAGTATTGCCACTGTTACTATGAAGATGCAAGTTTTATAGGTAGCTTGCCCTAGGATGGAGGCTTGTCAGCTTGCAGATTTGTTTCCCGTGGTTTAGATGTACCAGCAGTCTCTCAGATTTAACAGGTTTCTAAGGCTCATTGGTTTTACTTTTGTAGTGCAACTATAGCTTTATACAGGTAGCAGAAACAAGCAGTTATTCTATTTAGAAGTAGGTATTTATGACTCTAACATGATGATGCAGTGGAGAGAAGAACTTTTTGCCTCATACCCAGCAGAGGCCTTGAGCAGCAGAGAGACAAGATGCAGCGCAGAGGAGAGCAGGTGTGGGATGAGAGGGGATGAGGCGCAGGCTGGCACTGGAGACCTCACATCTATAAAGAACTCACCCATGGTCAGTTAAAGAAATGCAGGTGTTAGAGCTGGGCAAAACTGGTTTTAGGGGTAACAAAGAGAACAAAGAAATAGTATCTAATACAAGTAAAAGTCACCAACTATAATATATTTGGGTGTAATGTGGAGATACAAATCAATGGAGGGAAAAAAAAAAAAAAAAGGTGTAAAAACATGTTAGCAAACATGTAGAAATGACCGCAGGTGAATCCTAGAGTGAGGAAGTGGAAAGCACCAACATCCTGTTCATCTCAGGGAAGGACTCCAGATGCCAACAGCCCACTGCAGTCCCCACCTCCTCCTCCAAATGATGCCACTGCCCTAAAAGCCCAGAGGAGCAGCAGAAGGGTGAGTATAAGCACTAGGAAAAGGGGTAGAAACTAAGAATTGAGTATGTATCAGTTTTAACTACATTAATATTCTTTCTTTTCTCTATTAGGTCTGGACTAATAAAGATTAGTCTTTTAAGATTACATTTATTCTCTCAATATATTTTAGCTTTCCTTTTAGAAAATGTGTGCTTTCTCTTTGCCCATAAACAATTCTGAGTGTAAAAATAGGAAAGATATTTTTTTTATTATTAAGTGCAGTAAAGGTGTAATAAATCACATGCAGAGAATTATTTTCACCAGCCAGGGTAATTAAAAAATGTAATATCTGAAACTGTAATTGTTAGTCTGGTTTAAAAGCTTGGATATAGAAATAATCACTAGGCAGGTCAACCCTTTTAGCCTTTTGTTCTTACCTATTGAGTGTGCCTACTTGTTAAGGATTTCAGTGATGGTAATCCACCCTGAATGCTGCTCTTTATCTTCTAGGTCTTTATGCAAAATAAAACTAATTGGGAAACGTTTTGTTCCTACCAATTAAGTGTGGGGAGTTTTTAAATACAAGTGAAAAGAAAGAGCTATGAACAGTCCCAGGGAAACATGCAAATCTCAGGAGCTGTGGGAGAAGATGAAGAGGCAGGATTGAAGAGTTGTAGGAGAATATGGAGGACTGAATAGTAAAAGCAAGAGGAAGAACAAAGAGGAAAATAATTCATATTAAAAGAAAATCCAAGGTTCAAGGCAAAAAACCATACATTTTTCTGTTACCTTCATTGAACTAAAAGATAATGAAGATAAAGAAATTCATGAAACCCCTGGAAATTAATTAATTGAAATTAAAGTTATCGAAAAAAGACCTCATTTAAGTAGAGAAACCCCATAGAAGTCAAAGGGGTTCTGCCATCAATAGTAAAGGGTACCTGTAGTGCCTTCTACAGTTTTTATTCCTACTGTGAAGGGTTCTATGGAATAAAAGAGAATGTGGAAGATTGTGTAGAAAATTTAAAAAGAAATAACCTCCTCAGAGAAACATGGTTTTCAAAGGTATCCAAACACAGGCCGTAACTTCATAATAGAAGACTGATTTGTTGATATCATTGCATTTCATTCAGACATATATACCCTAAAATGTGTCCAGACATTACGAAAGTATCCCATGAGTTCAGACAGAGCTTGAGACAGCAATCTTGTTAATCTGAACAGCAGGCTCTTTGGTCAGATTTAGGAAATAACAAACATAACTCACTGTTCACTGTAGTACTAATTACATCTGTCAAGTACTCACCTCCCTGTGGAAAGAACTGAGAGTAAATATCTTTGAAGGTTTCTTCATTGACAACACCACTGGGGCATTCCTGAAAAAAAAGTGAAAGAGAAGAAATGAATACCATCCAACATGATCCAGTCAAATCATATGTTCATGAGACCGTAAAAAACATGTATGTGTCTCCAAGAGTTTGACTTGTCTGATTTTGCGCTTTCAACAAAATATTTATGCTCAATTAAATGTTTATCACTTTGAAGCATCTTCCTGAAGAGTTCCTATGGGACAAAATTTCTTCTATGCCATATATCTCAACTTCAGTCTTGATACCTGAGTGACAGACGTGAAGCAGTGACCACTCTGCTGCAGTGCGTGGAGCTATTGGTGTGGCTGTGGGCCATGTGTGCTCACTCCCACATCTGCAAGCAGCATTTGCAGGGTGTGGAAACCAAGCAGGAACGTAAACTGCATTTGCAGTTAGATATTACTAACAGAACGTGCAGTCATATTCTACCTAAAAGCTATATTTAATGAATTCCAAAGACCCTGCCACAGAAGTCCTTATTCAAACTCTGCAGATCCTTCTGTCTCTTTACATCTTTTTCATAAACTGAAATACGTAAGAAAGAATAAGCAGAAAGTGTCAGAGCAGAGTGATTATGAAAAATTGAAACAAAGTGAAGGAGAAGAAAAAAGATTAGAGGAGTAACTTTACAAAAATCATTTATGAAAAGCAGAAGGAATACTGTATTTTTTACTAAGTCACTCATAAACATCAAATACCAGTCAGTTGATGTCTAGTCCTGAATTTGCCACACTAAGCAGATGACTTTGGGCAATGCACTTAATTCCTTTATGCCTTAATTCCTTCTTTAACACAGAGGGTGAAAAAAGCCTGGAAAGCTCTTTAAAAGGGAAATATTTCTAGAAACAAAGTAAAGTAAGAAAAGACTAAGTGTTAATGTTCATACATCTATTTTTGTCTACTGCTATGCTATTTGGACTGATAACTCAAATTTATGTGCTCCTAGTCTGAAACTGGGGAAAGGAAATAGCTTTAAATGAAGATAAAGGACAGTGTAACATCTTTTACCAGTGTAATAACAGCTTTTCCTGTGAGGGAAAATGATATTTTTATTAGATTAAATAAGGAAGACTGAGATCTGAGATATTCATAGTTCTGACAGCTTCTGCTAAGAAATAGTGTAATCTTGCTAATTGAGAGATGAATGCATCACCTGAAAAAAAATCAGATCAGATTATTTTGATTTATGTCACTTATCCTCAGCCAAAATCAGCTCTTCACCATAACTAAGCATGTACAAACACATAGTAAAAAAAAATAATTTCTGTTTAATCAGGACAGACAAACAGTGGTCATGGGGACAAAAGTATGAAATTATTTGTTCCTTGACACAGAGGCTGTCACTGATGGAGGGAGAATTAGAGTACAGCTCTCTGTAAGATCAGACTGCTGGGCCACACTGCCTTTCAAACCAAAGCCTTTGGGGAATGAGAGGAACAGTGAAACAGATGTAGCATTTCTACCCTTCATCAGGTAAGGAGCAATCCATTAATTGAGGTGTCATCTCCCGGCCTGTATATGTATTTGGGTGTGAGGGCATTCTAAAACATCTCTCTCTGCTCTACCAGCTTCCTAAAAAGACTGTAGTCAGATGGTCTAGTGTGTCTGCGGGCCCTAGCAGGTTTACTATGCTGCTTGTCTTTTGATGCCTCCTGGAGTTGTACAAGTGCATGCAAAAGAGTAGTATTTTTATTTGTATTTGAAGCACAATAAAGAAAACATCAGTGAAGCGTTCATTGATATAACATTATAGTTATTCAATGTAGAAAATGTAGCAAAGGCATTTGGAAGTTCCTCTTCCAAACATACATTAGTTTATACTCTACATCATTCCCAGACCTCCCCAAGAAAGAATAAAGCAGCCTTCTCCCTGAGATGGGTAGCAGCGTGAAAGGGCAATGGAGTCTTTTAGAATTTAAAAAGAGAAGCCATGGTTTCTTTCTGTTCTGCATATAATTTCTTTTCAAACAAAAGGCTAGGCACATGTTTTGGCTGAAATAAAAGGAAAACCTGTGTATCTGAATTTGTACAACTCAGAGTTTGCTTTTTTTTTTTTTTTTTTTCTGAAGCTTAATAAAAAATGAATGAAAAAATGTGCATTTAAGTTCATCTAATTATGCCTTATTAACATGCAAAGCAATTTTTCTACCTTTTCCTTGGATGAGAAAGACATTCAAACTATGCTTATTTTGCCAAGAGTGCTCTCCCCCTTTTTACAGGAAATTCCATCAACTTGAACTGTGTCAGTCCTTAGACAAAAGCTGTGAAGAATAAGACTCCCATCTCCTGTCTGCATTTAAATGTTGTGATATTAGAGGAGAATTAAAGGTGCTCTGGAAAAAATGGTCTAATTTATTCTCTGTTAGTTCAAAATAAGTTAACAGCCTGCTTTTAGAGAAATACATGATTTCCTCATTTAAAAGTGGTACCTTTTTCTGCCACTTAATGACCTTCAGTTTCACCATATTGTTTGAAAGAAACTTTGCTTGAAAAGGCAATATACTTTCACAGAATTACATATTAGTAGAGTCAGGAATGATCTTTTGAGTTTAACGAGATTGACCCTCTGTATTTTCCTTTGCTCTTTACCACAGTATTACCAGTAACACCTTACCTTTTCTATCCTTGGAGGTCTGTATTAATGGTATCTTAAGGACATTAATTAGAAATCTATGATGCTGGCCAACTACTGTTATCAGAAACATCAGTTCAAACTTTTCTTTCTTTATCTTGGATCTTTCCTCCAAGACAGTGAACACTTCTGTTCTTAAATAATTTTCATCTAAATACATATGTAGCCAACATCATTTACCTCTAAGACTGCTCTTCTCTTGACTCATAAATCTGGCTTTATTGTGTTTATCAGGAGATTTCTCTAGTTCAGTGAAAGAGATTTATTATTGTAATTGTTAAGTATTTGTTAAGTAAGTCCCATGGCTTTATGTCAGGTTATTGCTAAGTCCTTCCATTGTACCAACTATAATTAAGAAAATCTTTCTAACCTTTCATTAAACTCTTATAAAAGAGAGGAAATAATTAAATAGTTTGAAAGAAACATGTGAGGCTTATTTAAACCATTTCCTATATTCTTTTTTCCTCCAGCTGTATATAATTTATTTTGTTACAGAAAATTTCTGCTTGACGGTCTTTCTAAATTGCATTAATGATGTATTGTATTTTCCTTCTGGAGTATAAGAAGGAGGAAAAGTTCATCTTGAACTGTTTTTCCTGAGTCCAGTGCTCCCTCCTTTAAAGAGAAAATAATATAAACCCACAGAAAGAAGAGACAGAGAATAATAAATATGATTCTGCCTTTTGATGATCTCTCTTGCTTGCAGTATTACTGCTGGGAAATTACAATTCTAGCACATAGTCTTCTGAACCACTCCAAAACCTGTAAATTATTTACAAGTTTCATGCTGTCTAAGCTGTCTTTTCTTCAGTATTTCTGAGAATACTGCAATAGGTGGATTCTTCTTTACTACCTGATCAACACCCTTTTTAGACAAGAGGCAAACCCAAAAACACACAAAAAAGGAGAAATAGTGAAATGTAGGAAAGACAATGCAGAGGAAACAAACTCAAATCCCAGACTTTTGTCTGCATAACAAAAATAAATAAATATGCATTAGGAGCTTTGGCAATTTAAAATGTATTTTAATTATAGGCTTTTGCATGACAGGTTCTCCATCTCCTGCATTATCTGCTGTCAGTTTTCATTCTGCTTCATTTTAGATATATATTCACGTCCGTTGACTTAATTATCTCTAACTGATATTTTCTCTTTTTGCATGTACTTCTATTCTAACTGAAAATTTAAATTTTCCATAAACAAAAAATTAAATGGAGGAACATGTATGTAATTTTGAGATAGCATGTATATACTTTAAAGATAACTCTACCAAAAGTTCCACAACCAAAACCCATGGTGGCTTTTCATAGCCCAGTCCAGTTCCTAATTTTTCATTTGAGTATAATAGGGCTTTGATCAAAACAGCATGAGAATTTAACAAATGGCCTTGATTTAATATCTTAATCTAGGCAAAACTAATAACAAAATCTGGGCCAACAGGCACCCCATGAAGCTCAACAAGAATAGCAATGTTCTGTGTCTGGAAAGAAATCATCCTTTGCCCTAGTAACAGCTGTGAAGTGTCTGGCTGCCAAAAAGGACGTGGGGTCACAGTGGATGTCAAGCTGAGTATGAGCCAACAAAGAATTCTTACCACAAATAAGATAAACCACTTCCTGTGTCAAGGCCAGCAGGCTGACGGAGTTTTTCTTTCCCTCTACTCAGGACAGTCTTGGAGCCCTCCCAAGGATGTGGAGGAACTGAAGAAGGCGGCCATGAAGACTACTAGGCATGAGAGCACATGGTCAACAAAGACAGACTGTGAGAGCTGGTCTTGTTTAGTCTAGACCATCACTAAGAGATGAGCTAATCGCAGCCCACCTGAAGGGCACCAAATTCTTCGTAGGGACAGACAATTTAACAAAGTTCAGTGGCCACAGTCTGAGGTTTGTGAGCTCATCTTAGACAACAGGAAAAACTTTTTCACTCTTCTGGCTACCCTAAACTGTGGTGATGCTTGAGACAGCCCTTAATTTCAGTGAAAATTTGTACTGTTAAACAGCCTTAGAAAGTTGTCTGTGTATGTGGCAGAGCTTTTCTAAGGGATGAGATGAGAAACTTTGTTTGATAAGTGGACCTTTATAATTTGCCATTACAAACAGGAACCAAGACAGAAGGGTGTGGGTTAAAGACTTGAGACAATAGGTTCTGAAGCTTATGTTTCTTCAGTCTTTAATGATTTTAAGATTTATGAAAATTAACTTTTAACTTTATGCACTCCCTAATTCTGCATACCTAAAGTTGATTTAAATTTGCTATATCTAATGTTTGTTCTGATGTATGCAATTGAAACTTAGGCCTTCTTATGACTTTCATATTTGTAGAAAACTGAGCTAAATTATAATTATGCAATTCACATGGGTTGCAACATCAA